GATGGGAAGGTAATGGATAGATGGGGCTAGTGGGTGTGGCGCATGAAGCGATAAGCCACTGCACCATAAGGCTACATGGCTACTAAATCAACAACAGGACTTGAATAGTCAACGACAGCCTAATGGTGAGAATATTATGGTCTAATAGGCACTAGTAGCTCCTGATAAGGTCATCACTTACATATCAGCAGGAGTCACTCAACAACTTAGAATCACCACTGTCAATTCTCACACAGGTCCCCGTCAGTCGAGGAGCCTGCCAGAGGCTCTAGTAAAGAGCTAAAGCCTACTTGCCTACCTATTGATACCCTACCAGCAGCGCCTGTTGGCGGCCTAAAATGGCTTGAAAGACAAAACAAACAAAAACAAAACACTGAGCAAGTCGTAAAACAACCCTATAAAGAGGCCAGAAGGTAAATACTGAGAAGACTAGCTGTAGCGCGCTCCGATTAGTCGGAGCTAGCGAGTGACCTTTTCTAATTGAATATTCAAAGACTGTTGCTGATTTCGCTGCCCTCCTGCACCACCAACACCAAGAATCTACCCCAACAGGCCTAGGACAAACCTTAAAAATAAGGGGAAAATTAGAAGGAATTGGCACTGTCATTTGTTCTTTTTGTATATATTGTTGACAACATCGTTGGCGCCAAATGGCAATGGTTGGCCCCTGCTCTATCCTTCCATATGTATGAAGACGTTTGATGCCCAGGCATACTCAGAGAAGGGTCCCCCCAAAAAAACCACCACTGGCTCTGTGAATCAAGAAAAAATGTCAGGTCATTAGGCAGTAAATTGTGTTTGATATAGTTTCACCTTGTCATTGAGAAAGGTGATGATAAAAGGCCTCAGAAAGGCAATCGTCGGCGCTGCCACACGAAGCCACTCGGCCACTTGTTTTGAGCGGGCGGCGGCGCGGACCCAAACTTTAACTGCGTGCCACGAGGCTGTGCTGACTTTGGCAGGCACCATCTTTCTGCATCATCAGCTCAACATTTTGAACCCAACATCAAGGTCGTACGTACTTGGTGCCGTGCCTGGCCTTGTACAACCAGGTCGCATCGTTGGACTTTCCGCGTCCTGTCATTCACCGTGACTGCCTCGCTACCTTGATGCGCAGCCAAAACCACCAACGACATTGCGGCTCGAATAAAAGACCACCGCATCGCCTCGTCATCTTTTGTTGATGCAAAACCCCCCCCCCCACCGCACAGCCAGACATCTCCGTCATCTACGACAACGGCCGTGTTCCGTTCTGTGGCGCTATCTTGGGTGGCAAAAGGATACCCTGAGTGGCTTGGAGCTTCCAGCTCGGCTGAGGGGCTGCGACTTGTGCCACCACATTTCTGCTATTGACGTAACACTACGTGTGTTTTAACTTTTGACGCGTGGGCGTAGCCCTATAAAAGTTATTCTTGATCCAGAAACAGGCGATTGCTTTTGCTTCGCTGATGGTTGGTGATTGATGCGCACCAACTGGGACCTCCCCCCCGTCTTGATTATCATACCCGCCCGACGGGCAAACAGCCTACATCCGCCTCAGCGACAGCCGCTCCTCGACGAGCTGCCGTGGTCATGAGATGATAGCGGAATACCAAGCAGCGAATATACACATAGCAGCGCGGAGCCATGGAGCATTTGTATAAGATTTACACGGTCGTCGCCAGACGTAACCCCGCCAGCACCACCCAAGGCCGCCTTGATGCATCACCACCACTGCAACACAACACCAGCGATAGCACGGCAGCAGAGCTCCAGGAACTCCCTCGCCAGCCCGAGACAACTCATCTTGCACAGAACGGCTTCCTCGGAGATGCGAGCGCCGATGATACTACCATTAAGCCGCGCAAGCTCGCCAAGCTCGGCGCCCTCACCAAGACTGTCGGCGTCGGCGGTGGCAGCCTATCCCGCACTGCTCCGAAGCAGACCAAGAGACAGCTCCTCGACCTCTTACTGGCCCTTCCGCCCGAGCTGCAGCTCAAGATTCTCTCGTACCTCGACTTTGGTGACCTGGAGCGCCTGCGTCGGAGCAGCCGCTTCTTCCTCGCCCACTTGAGCCCCAAGCTCGTTCGCTCCCTGCTCAGACCCCATTTCCGCTTCCACATTCGCTACACATGCCGCATCTGCCTCGAGCAATACTGGGAGGGCGGCGAGGCGCTCGTCAGCACCGATGAACATGACCCGCGCTTCCCTCTATCCAGCCGCTGCATCGACTGCGTCTGGAGGCAAAAGGGCTTTTTAGTCGGGATAAAGTATTTCATGGCAAACAATGCTGCCGTCTACGTCTGTCGCTGGTGTGGGACACCTGTTACTAGACAGCCTGCCTGGAACCAGCCCGAATTTCACAAGAGGTGCTTCAAGCGTTACACAAAGGTAGTCTTTTTTTATTATGTGATTGGTGTGGGCCAATGGGTGGTGGTTTTCATCGCCTCGGGCTTGTGCTGGCATTACTTTCGATCGCGCGCCATGTGGGTGGTTGGTGTAGTCGTGGTAAGTGTCCCTTTGCGCGTGCCCTTATGCCTTCCCATGTTAACCAAGTGAAATAGGCCGGATTCATTGTGACGCTCTGGAATTTTTGCCTCAATTCCCTCCGCGGCACCATTATGAGAACATACCACTTTGCGCTGCTCCTCGAAACCCTCATCTTTGCCTCGTGGCTTGCACCGCTCCTCGAGCTCTCTCGCATCAACCGTCGCCGCATACCGCACCGCGTCATGGACTCGTACGAGAAGGCCATGGTTGTCTTTATCATGTTCAACCTCGTGTGCCGTGGCATCAACATGCTTGGCAACGCCATCCTCTTGTGCGAGTACAAGCTGTGGCGCCACAAGAAGCCGCACATGTCACCTGCCCGCAGCGCATGGATCCACACCATGGAGGTGTTTATGTTTTTTGTTGAGCCCCAGTGTGTTGAACAGGAATATCCAGCAACATGGTGGTTCAGCAGACGCCGTCGTGTGCCGCGCGCACAGGACGCCTTTGAGCCAATTGTGGGCATTCAAAACTTTGACGAGGGCCCAGTGCCTTATAATCTGGAAGCTGGAGAGCAACATTCACAGACATTTGATCAATAGAGGGCAATATTGAGAAGAGTTGTATCGACAGTCTGACAATGCGGGTGAGATTCTTGGGATGGCGTAGGTAGATTTAACAAAGTTGGAAGATGGCGTTGAATAATGGATGGACATTCATGGCTAGACTGGTCTTGGTATGGATGGAGTATGGTACGGCAAGCGAGTGATTTATTTTTTTGTCTTTAGGATTATTGTGTAGCAAAAAGGTAGCGTTGATGAATTAATATGGTGGTGTATGCCAAGCGGAGCTAGTCTGGTTATTCATCTCTCGGGGCATGTTCTTTAGCGCGAGTTGAGTGTGGTTTGTTTCCGTAAATGTATGGGTATGGAGAACCCCTGCGCTGCCTCGAGTGCTCGAACAACCAGTTAGAAAGGAAGAAGAATTCATAAAGTCAGGATATAATTCCATTATACTTTTTCCGCCTCGTGCAAGAGTTTTGGAATGGTGGGGAGAATCTGGAATCTGGGGTAGAAGCCTAATAATAACTAGCGTTTACGTGGAACCGAAAATCGGAATTCTGGGGTTGAAAGTGGAGTTTTAAAGCATCATGATGGGCTTTTTTGATGATAAGAAATGGGCCCGTGTTTGATGAATGGAGCAGTGTCGAGCGAAAGTGACTCCAAAGGCTGCTCATGTTTTGTATATGAACAGCCCATTCAATCTTTGCACTGAGAAATGTTATTGTACGTGGCTGATGAGCGCATAGCGTAGTCGAGAACTCGGGCTGGCTTTTCAGGGCCTGCTCGCGGCAGGACCTGCCCTAGCGAGTAGAAGGATAGTTCTTGCCTCCCGTACAACAGAACATCTTCGAGTTGAAGCTATGCTGTGGCTCTATTGCACCTCTTTTCATCAGTATTCTTGATTTCTGTTCAGTTATTAATCCCGCTATCCCAGTTGCCGACCGGCAGCATGCACCGGCCGCCATCCCCGGCGTTGTGCCCTACAAGCGACGCCCGATCCAGAAGCTATCTTTTTTCTTTCTACTCTTCGTTTGTCAGGGTCTCTCTATATTTTTCATTTCAATATGGCATTTGCTGAATGCCGGCTTTGAGTACCACCTGATTTGTGGCGGTTTACCCTTTCCCCGCGCTTGCCGAAACCCGTGACGTAGCATTTTGATGCAGGCCAAGTTGTCAACAGCTTGTTCGAGTTTCGCTATAAAGCCTCAACACGAAAAGAGCGCGGCAAAAGCCCGAAATCGTTCTATATTATCGTTGCATTCAACAGAAAGCATGTCGTTGATCCCTCAGCCCCAGTCCGTGACTCTCAAAGACGGCGTCGTGGAGCTCGCCAGCCTCGACGACGTCGACGAGGCGCTCGACACCACCCTCCTCCACCCCGAAGGCTACACCATTGACATATCCGCCACCGCTGGGGTGCAACTCCGCGGCGGCTCCCCCGCCGGCCTCTTTTACGCGCGACAGACTCTTCTGCAGCTGCTTCCACCGTCTGCGCTCCGCCACGGCGGCGGCACCACCCACGGCCACCATCGTCGTCCGTGGGCGCTTCCCGCGCAGGTCATCGCCGATGCGCCGACGTCGGGCCTACGCTGGCGCGGCTGCATGCTCGACGTGGCGCGCCACTTTATGCCCGTGGCCGACGTGCTGCGGCTCGTCGACGCGCTCGCCCACCACAAGCTCAACACGCTGCACCTGCACCTCACCGACGACCAGGGCTGGCGCATCGACATGCCCGGCTGGCCGCGGCTGGCCGCCGTGGCGAGCTGGCGGCGCCGGACCATGCAGGGCACGCAGCACCAGCCGCGGTGGGATGCGCGTCCGCACGGCGGCTTCTACTCGACTGACGACTTGAGAGAGATTGTGGCCTTTGCCGAGGCGCGCCACGTCACGGTCGTGCCCGAGGTCAACATGCCGGGCCACATGCAGGCGGCGATTGCGGCGTACCCGGAGCTGGGCAACACGGATGTGGAGGGACGCAGCGCGGACCAAGGCGTCTGGGACTCGTGGGGCGTGTCGCGCCGCGTGCTCAACGTCTCGGACCAGACGCTCGATTTCTGCCGCGCGGTGCTCGACTTTGTGTGCAGCGTTTTCCCGGCCGAGACGATTGGCATCGGCGGCGACGAGTGCCCGTACGACGAGTGGAAGGCGAGCCCGGCGGCGCAGGCGCGCATGCGGGCGCTGGGCATCGAGACGGAATCCGCGCTGCAGGGCTGGTTCACGGGCCAGATGGCCGCGCACCTCGCGTCTCGCCACGGCCGCCGCGCGTACGCCTGGGACGAGGTCGTCGAGGGCTACACGGGGCCGCCCGGCCAGGTCCTGGTCGCGGCGTGGCGCGGGCCCGGCGCCACGGGCAAAGCGGCAAGGCGCGGCTTTGACGTCGTGGCGTGCCCGGACGTCGACGTCTACCTCGACTACCGGCAGTCGGACGACGAGGGCGAGCCCACGCCCGTCGGCACGCTGCTGCCGCTGGAGCGCGTGTATGACTTTGCGCCCATGCCGGCTGATCTGGAGCCCGACGCGGCGCGGCGTGTTGTCGGCGCGCAGGTCAATGTCTGGACGGAGCACATGGAGAGCGCCCGGCGCGTCGAGTACATGATGTGGCCGCGCGCGTGCGCGTTTGCAGAGGTGGCCTGGGGCAAGAAGGGAGAGAAGGAAGGAGAGGAAGGAGGGGGGTTTGCGGGCTTTAGGAGGCGGCTGGAGGAAAAGCACTTGGCGAGGCTGGAGGCGCTGGGTGTTAATTACAGACCGCAGACGGGCCCGCGGCCGTGGGACGGTCGTCCGGATGCGGTGGGACATCCGCTGTCGCAGAGGCAGCGGCCAGTGGAGGATGTAAAGGATTGAAAGTCGATTCAAATGATGGAGTCTTGCTCGAGGCTATCAGAGCATGTAAGCTGGGATTGACTGCACGACAATGATGACAGCAACGTAAACCAATAATGACAGAACGTTGAAAGACAAATCTGCTCTCTTCGATGGAATGCACATGTATGCGTAAGTAATGACTGGCACAGATTCATATCGCATCGCCTCTCAGACATGCTCACTGCGTTGAGACGAAACATCGATCCAGTAGTCGCATGAGCAATCTGCGCGCTGTGGTCACCGCCGCAAATATGTTCTACCTATAGCAATGTCAAAATACTCTTAAAGACATCTTCATTTGTGCTAGACTTACTTGCGGTCCGGGCTTTGCTGCCAGATGGCATAAGCACCATTGTCAGAGCGGAATCTTGCCGCTGTGGCGGACCAAGGGGTGTATATATCGAGCATTTTACGAATCCTTGCCATGCGACTGCCCATGATACACGTGCTTGCAGACTCATGACACATGAATAATGATAATTCCCGATAATGCATATACTATAACATTGATTATCTGTACACAGCGCTCTTGTCCGTCCTCGCGCAAAAGGCTCGCGAAAGAAGAAAAGATTTCAGCAAATGCAGCGCAAGAGACTCGCAGACTGACGGACAAAGTTCCCCCCCCCCCCCTCCCCCCACCTCCACAGCAGGAGCAGGTGCGCGCTTTTTTTTTGCGTAATCATCATACGTTGTTCATGGCCATTCTCCGGTTGTTGCGTTTTTAGTCGCCTCGGTACTCGTTCAGCGGCACTTCTCAAACCGCGCTGTAGCCACCCCGGCTCCCCGCGCCCTGCACCGTGTTGAGCACGCGCCGCACCCAGTCCTTGAGCAAATAGGGGACGTCCCGAATCATGTCGCCGTGGGGCAGGAGGTCCCAGCCGCGAGCTCCGTACCGATTGTAGTTGAGCCATGATCCAAAGATGAGGTACGCCGCCGTGCCGAGGAAGCCGCTGTGTTTCCAGTCAGTATTCCCATTCCTCAATTGTGGCGTAGTGGCACTTACATGATAATCAGCCAGGTAAAGAAGCCCCAGCTGCCGCTTTTGGGAGACTCCTCTGGATCCTCGACATCGTTGTCATCACGCTTCTCGCAGGCGTACTTGGTGTGCCAGGTCAGGCGCAGAATGTCTGCATCCTTTTCGGCGCCGTAGCTCTCCCAAATCAGAGCTGCATTATCCTTCTTCAGCTGGTGCTCCACCTCTTCATTGCTGCCATCCTTGTCGTCGTCCTCCTTGTCGTCGCGCCTGCGCTTGGCGCTGCTCTCGTACTTGTCCTCTGCTTCCCACTCGCCCTCCAAGCCGGTCTGATTGCGGTCGCACAGAAATTCAATAACCGCTCTTTGATCGCGCTTCTCGTGTCGGCCGCCCTTGAGCACCAGTCGCAGGCCTTCCTTCTTCGAGTCGGCATTGGAGTCGCTCGTCTTTAGCCGTGTGACCTCGTAGTCAAACGCGGTACCGCCGTAGTTTTCCAACGAGCCCGCGATGGGGATGACTTCGGTAATCTGGTCCGAGTCGTCGCCAATGACTCGCTTGATGGCACATACTAAACACTCCACGTCAGCAAACTGCAATTGCGCCACCTCACACCCTCCCCCCAGCAGTGTCATCACTGTTGCGTACCTCGCGTGCCGTTGGGGCATTCCTCAGTTTTCTTCGCATCGCCGCTCTTCTTCAAGTTTCCGCATACGTCGAGCGTGTACGTCCGGTTGTGGTGAAGCCCTGTGATAGGCTCCAGGCGCGAAGTGACGACTGAGTGCGGGCCCGTGAGCGTTGAAAGATCAAACTCGTGCTCGCTAGCGACGATTTTTTTGCAGTCTAGCATCGCCGACGCCGACGATGCTCCAAAAAGTGCTGTCACCAGAATGTCGGAGCGCATCGTCAAGATGGGTGCTTAGCAAGCAACAGCTGCGTAAAGCTTGTCGTGGGGGACGCCTCTCCTAAGCTTCGACTCGGATGTGGTGGAAGGGGCGCGGAGCAGTACAAAAGCTGAGATAATGAAATGTCACAAAAGAATGGATTCGCTAGCTTGCAGCGCTCACGGATGTCCCGAATCGGAGGGTTTAGGTTGCCAGGATGATGCGACGTGACCAGCTTCCATCTCTGTCCCATGTCGTAATCTGTGGTACTATCGATCCGTACACGTGACCCACTTCTGGTTCTTGGGCACCACAGCAATTCATGCAGGCTTCAAATCAGGTTTTACAAATTTACTTATTAGACGAAACTCAAGTAAGCAAATGGGTTTATCGATGATGGGCAAAAATCGTCGTCTGTCATTGCGTACCCCTTTTTGGTGTCCCAATTGAAGCATCGCCGCCACGCTTGGAGAAGAGCATCCCAACAGTTGGCCAAGTTGTAACGGGAGGAACGTTTCGCGGGCAGATCAGCGGAGATTGTGCGTCTGAGCAGTTCGGCCGGTAATTTTGCACGCAGTGGAAATCGATTTTTGGTTATGGAATTCAGGCAGTCGGTGGAAAGCAAATCTAACTAATTATTTAGTGTGGGCGTACCCGTTAAATTTACAAGCGTTTGGGGCGGCTCTTGCGCATCTCGTTTGAAAAATACACGCCACGATGGATCCACCGATTTGGTGCGCGTAGCCATCGTAGTTTCATCCGTAATACTGACGTGGGCCGAACGAGCTGCATCTATTGTACACAGTCCATGGTCGGAGACTGAGGAAATTTTGATGTCATATTTCGTCGGGCGCGCCCGAATGGGCCACCGCCCGTGAAACCTAATGATAACTAAACGCGAGATTATGTGGGGTTTCCATGACAACTGGCTTCCTTGAAAGGCAGACATCTGGCTAGGCTAGTAATCTTCGACCTTTACCAAACACAACAAAACTTGAAAGTGCAAGAGCGGACTATCGCTGCAGCCAGCCCAAAACTTCTAAGAAGTCTTTCGACTTTTCATTTGACCAAGTGCTCTCGCCGGCAATCACGATGCCTTGCTGCGCCCCTGGCGTGTCATCTGCCGACATAACCAGTGCTGATGAGCTGCAGCACGCTGCCATCCAGCAGATCCAGCTGGAGCAGATGAAGCAATTACGCGAAGCTTTGCGCGACATCGAGGTACCGACCTTGAAAAAAGATGTTCTTAGCGAACTTTCCATTGCGCTGGGCACGCAGCTCAATGTGGACGGAGTGCCCAACTCCCTGTCTGAAATCTCCAGCACCTTCTTTGCGCCTTGCGATTGGCCGCTCGAGACTTTACAATTCGAAACGCGGCGTGCAAGATGGGCCTGGAGTGATTGGAGCCGGAGAAGCATAGATTCCGCCATCTTGCTGCTGGTTCCGGAGAGCAGAGCTCACTGGTTTTATAAGAGCCTCCTCAGGTTATCGCGGCGAGCACCAGACCTATGGGATAGCTACTAGTATGTGCAGCTACTATCCGAGCCTCTCATCTAGGCCATTACTTCTACTTTGTTCATTCAAGACAGGTCACTGATGAGAAGTAGTTCTCCTGGTTATATTCGGGAAGCAACCGGCCTCTATTTACCTTCTCGTGATTTCTACCCAGAGCCCTCGTGGACAGCATACCACACGTCCTACGGTAAATGGGTTCAGTTCTCGCCAGTTGCGTCAGAGTTGCCGCATGCGTCATGTTTAGTTGTCGATTCGGGTACGCCAGAAGACGACATGATTCTACTGTCCGAGGCCGAACAGGCCGCAGCGCTGGTAGAGTTCCAGCTCAAAGATAGCGGCTATACCAACCACCATACCAAACCAGTCCTGGTCGCGACAATCATGCGTAATCAGACGGCGCGTCTCACACAGGCCTATTTTGACGGCAAGCAAAATATGCTCGTCCTTCGCCAATCGCGGACGCTCGACTTGTCAGGGCGGCTCCCAAGCTCTGATGCGTGGTTGCTGCTGAGATGGATTGCCAGCCAACCGATTGGCGAGACACGTTATCCTGCGAATGGTGCACAGGAGAGGATGTTTCGCGATGACCCAACCAACTTGGCATCTCAGATCCCTGTATAGCTACGCGAGAGTTGTGCCTACCTTGTACCCTTTGTTGTATCTATCTACTGCCCTTTGCTGTGTTTCTGTTGATTGCATTTTCACTACGAATAATCGAATTTCTATTCCCACAGTCTTCGCCTGGTTCAAACCCCCGTCGATTTTCGAATTTTGCAACGTAGTCACATGACGACTACGTACACTTTGACAAATTCGTCGCTCTCCAGCAGTTCTGCCAAAGGGACAACATACACATTGAGGCACCGCTCGAAGGCACGCAAGGCCGTCAAAAGAGGCGCTCGAACGCACTCTTAAGGGCGCTATCGAAGGCACGCTGGCGGCGGTTTCCACAACACCTACGCGGGAAGGGCCGCCGGGGGGGTCTCTGGAAATGCCCTGTGTGATATTGCTGCCAGATCTCAAAGAGCTCTGCCGGACCACGGGCTCTCTAACAGGAAATACAGCCTCAAGGAGTATATCGATTATCCAGCTGGCTAAATAGCTGTTGTTTTTCCCTTTGTTTTTTTTTTTTCCCTTTATTTCTTTACTCTATCAAGCGCTTCCTCTGTCTCCTTCCTAGGCACACACACACAGCCAACGCTAGCAGCCAACGTTGTCGCCATCAAAGGCAGCCACGAAAAGTCTCCATCACACACACTCACACACACACACACACACACACAGCGCTCTATTCAGCCACGTAAGAGCTCTCTATGTTGGCGTTGGCGTTGTCGTTGGCGTTGTCGATGGTGTTGTCGATGGTGTTGTCGTTGGCTGGCAATGCTGGCTTTAGCCAGCATCAAAGGTACTTTGAGGGGAAGAAAAAGGGGAGGGGGAGTAGGCAGGAGAGTAAAAAAATGAAAAATAAAAAAGGCTACTTGGCAATTTACGATGACAGAAGCTTGACATGATTCCTTGTCTAAAAGCTGTCAGTCAGCAGATGCAAAAGTCATGTAGACACGATGTTGGCTGGGTCGGGCTGGCAGCCGCTGTATGGCTACAGCGGCCATGTCCCGAAGCCCGCGTAGGCAGCGACCCCAAGTCAATGACATCTCTAGGTCTGATTGGCCTATCTAGATCCACGGAGTACTTTACCCATGTTGCAAGATTCGAAATTCACGTTACTTGTACGGAGAAACGGGCACGACGGGGTACAATTAGCCTAACTAGTCATGTGGGGGACACATTAAATTAGCCCTTCGAAGAAAGCACCTCGTTTCTAAACCGTCATTTTTTTAGACATAAACTATTTAAATAAATAAAAACAAAGTATAATAAGTGTAAAAATGATTAAATACTTAACTTATATTTTTAAAAGTATTATTTTACTTACTCTTATATGTATTTATGATTAATAAGATAGTATCAAGAATCCACGAGGGCTGGTTTTTTTGTCCCCCCCTTGCTAGTGCACACGCGAGCCACGTAGCATGCGGGTCGGGACGTTAGTGACTCCCACCCCGCCCGCGGCCCGCTAGAGAAAGCTTTAAGCCAATCATAGAGCATCATCGATCTGCCAACTCGATTTCGGCTCAGACTAAGCTCAGTCGAGAAAATCTGAATTGTGAATTTCAGCCTTCGTACGGAAGTAACCACACCACGATTCCTGTGATACCTCTGAGCAACTCTTCCTCCTACAACTCATCCTCCCACAACTCTTCTTCTCAATGACCTCGCTCGACGGCCTCAGAATCACATCTAGCCGCAGAGATATTGCATACGCAAAACCTGTCGCAGAAAGACCGAAACGATTAGCTAACTGTTTGCATGTAATGGTGTAGTCGACTTCCGCCACCATCGCCGCTGGGCGTGATGAGGATTCGTCAGTAACCCCCCCCCCCTGCAATGTATATGAGACATTTTCGATCCTTCTCTAATGCAGTATGACTTTAGAATGCCACAAACCGACCATGGTACTGTCACGGGGGTCGGCGTGCAGGCACTCGTGCCACGTATGAGCAACTCGTTGATGTTATACTTGGCGAGGCCGGGGTCTTTGAAGTTCAGCGAAATGCAGTATGACCTCGAAATGAAGAAAAAATGACCTTCAGTTACTTTCACGAAGCTCGGCGTGCAGGCACTTGTGCCACGTAAGAGCATCTTGGTCAAGTTGTACTTGGCGAGCCTGAGGGTCTCTGAAATGCAGTATAAGGCCGAG